TCTTATCTTCTTAACTCATATATCTTAGAGTAGGTGCCCATCTTGTGTCTGCTCTTTGAAGTCTTTCCAGTTTGTCTATATTCTTCTTTAAGTGTGGACCATACTCAAGACTTGGTCTTATGATTGCTATAATAATCTTCTTTACCATATCTTCATCCACATACATGAAGGCCCTCTTCATGTTGGCAATCAGCCCTAGCATTTTGTGGACCTTTTCATTTATATGATCATTTGGGTTTAAGTTTCTATTTATGATTACCCCAAGATCTTTTTCCCTGTCAGCTGTGTTTAATATTGCATCTCCTAATTTATACTGGAATAGTGGGTGATTTCTACTTTCCCAAACCTGACTACGTAGCATTAATTGGTATTGAATTCCATTTTCCATTTACAACTTCCTGTGAAAAAGTTATCGATGTTACTTTAGAGGCATTGGTATGATAAGTTGTCTGTTATCCTTCTTTGTATCTTTGAATCATCTGCAAACATATTCAGATAACTACCTGGGCTTATGTTTGACTTTAAATCATTGACAAACTTTGATTACCTTCAGTTCCACTATGGGGTCTTGATCAATTTCTAACTCCTTTGTAATAATTCCTTCCCTTGTTAATATTGCTAACCCCCTCCATTTTCCTCGGCCCAATCTTTTCTCCAAATATCATAGTTTTTGCATCCTAATGTTACATCATCTATGGAGGGATCCGGTATGGATTCAGTGATGCACATTACATCTGGTTTATTCATTTCAATTATTGTCTCTAGTTCTAGTAACTTCGAAGACAGACCATCAATATTTGTATAAACTATTTCTATACAATCTTTCGGTATTCCTCTTGGCTGCAGGGTTAATGTTCGTCTGTCACTATGTTTTGGTTCTGATAGTATATTTGCTTTACTTGGAGACCTCTCACCCACCAAATAAGCTAGATCTTTTTCCTCTTCAGTCCTTTGCTGCTTTTCCTTCTTTTCCATTTTTTTTCTGTACTGTTTCTTTGACATCTTTGGTTATATTTTCTCTTATCCAGATTTTCTGATATTCTTCATGGGTAGCCATGACTTTGGCTTTCTTTATCATATTTGTTACCATTTGCTTATTCATGAATGTTACTTTTCAAAGGCGTTTCTTTCCCTTGTCAAATAATTCCTGCCACCTGTGAGCTATGATATTCTATCCACGAATTCAGGATTTATGACCTTGAGAATGTTTACTATCAATTTCTCGCCCTCCTTGTATCCTTCAATTCCATCTTCTACAACTTTTTCTTCATGTCCCAATATGACCATGTCCTTATGTACATCTGCAAAACTAGCAATATTTCTTGCATGTTGCCCAGGGTGGGATTTGAATTTGTTCTTCTTTACTGTCTCTGCAAGCTGTATCTTAATTTCTTCTTTTGTGATTTTGATGTCATTTTCTATCTTTTTTTCCATTTCATTTACTGTTTCTTTTATCTCTGAGACATCAGCATATGTAGCTGACATCTTTTTTGCCTCTTCCATTAATTGGAGCCTGGCTGCTTGACAAATTGCTTTCAATCTGCTTAACAGTTTCTTGTACTATGATTACTTCCTCAACTTTTTCTTACAGATTCTTTGCTTCGGTTTCACTACTGCTGCCAGTCTTGGTTTCTGCTTCTTCTAAGTTTTCATTGAGTTCCTTGATTTTCACGTTTGACTTCCATATTCTTTATCTGAATGCTTGTGTTCCTGCACAAATTATCTACCAATACCTACAAAATTACATTTTCTTCACAAATTTTCAGGCATTCTAATACCAGGTTGTCTCTTGGCTTCCAGAGCATCAGTTCTAACTGCTGCTTCTGCTAACTTCATTTTTCTTGTCTGATCTTAGTTGTTACTCATTGAAAAAAGACAAAAACAGAGCTGTATTCATGACAGTTGTCTCTAGGTGCAAAATGCTTACCATGCAGGATTTGCATGTGTGTGTATGTGGGGGGTGGTATGTGTGTGGGTATGTGTGTATGTAAGTGTATGTGTATATGTGTGTATGTAAGTGTATGTGTATATGTGTGTAACTGTATGTGTATATGTGTGTGTGTGTGTAACTGTATATGTGTATGTGTGCATGTGTGTGCATGTGTGTATGTGTATGCGTGTGTGTGTTTGCATGTGTATATATGTGTGTATATGTGCATGTGTGTGTGTGTGTGCATGTGTGTGGGTGTGTGCATGTATTAAGACTTAAGACTTATTCCATATAAAAGATGCCCTTACCTTTCAAGGTAGACTAGTGTGATAATTGCACATTCAGCAGTGAGTTGTGCTGCATTAAATAACGTGCGCACAAATTTATAGATGTGTCGATGCTCAGGATTATGTCTGTCATAATCTGGAGGAACTCCTTCCCGCTGAAAAAATAAGATCTATTAACTTGAAGCTGAGTACAAGGAGCATAAGAAAGAAAGATACTGAGAGACATATGTACCAACTTTTACTAGTAAGATAATGCAAAAATTATTTTCAAACATGTCTTACTGAACAGAAGTTCACAAAACATTTGATTAGTTTATTGTCAAATACATATTTTCCATAACTTATCATTAATATTCTATAATCTATCATAAAAATGTTACCAGATGATACTTATGATTTTAAAAACACAAAAAACTAGATGCTACTCACTATCAAGATTTCACTGGACCAATACTCAAGAGCTGATAAAAATACCCTATATACACCCATTATTTAAAAATATCATACATAATGGGAATAACACAACAATTCAGATTTCAAATACAGAGAAAAGAAAGGAGTAATCAATGTCTAGGAAATGGGTGAAGTAGATGATACTGGCCTCCTAATTAATTCTTTGAAGCAGAAATCTTTTATTGTGTTTGTGGTGTTGTAGTTACCCAACATGTCCTAATATTTGGGCATTTAATACAGTCTGGGACTAAAGTCCTCAGAAAGGTTTTGCTGTTTTGTTTATTGTCCAGAGATAGAGCTACGCTAGATGAGTGGGAGTTCATCGATGCCCTCGTATTTTCCTTGATCTCGTTGATTCAGACACGTTTGAAGTACTGTAATGAATCCCTACAACCCAACTCTGGCCTTCTTCCCTCCTCCATTCAGGAATCAACCCCATTACTACACAGTGATTGCAGTGCCATCTCTGGTCAATAAACAAAACATGCATAACCTCTCTGAAGACTTTAGTCCCAGACTGTACAATGGAAAATAATATATCAATGAGACTACTAAGAAAATAGAAATTGGAGAAATGAACTAATTAAGTACAAAGAGCAAGGTGTAAGAATACTGACTAGCAACTAAAGCAAGATACTAATAGCACTTTCATTGTGAGTGAAGATGAAGATGATGCAAATAATAATAATAATAATGATAAAAAAAACTAGAAACAAATAACCAGATTAGGAACTAACAGAGCAGACTCTAGAATGAAATAAGCTCTCAGTTCCTATTTCCTTAATATAGTGTAAAAACTCATACAATGCTTTATGTCTTGACAACACTCATGATGTTACATTGCTTCAAAATACTGCTCCAGTTGTTTAATACCTTATACTGCTGCTTAAACCATCATTGTGCGATGCTTTGAAACCATATCTTTGAGGGGCAGCTAGCTGGTAGGGTGATAGGGTCAGAGACACCATAACACAGGTTTATATGTGCATGCAAAGTTTTTGCTCTTTATTTAACTCCTCAACTAAACACCACTTCAAAGCCTGGTTTACTTTCAAATGGAAAAAAAAAAAAAAAAAAAAAAAAAAAAAAAAAAAAAAAAAAGGAATGTGAATGAGAGTGCTGTAGTTAATATTGTCCTATCACACTACAAAATGCACTTCAGCGGTCTTGAAGCTGAGAAGTTCCTAACCATGTTGTCCACTACACCAAACAAATCTTTTTCTTAAAATAAAAAGATAGCAGGAAATCTTAAGCATATACGGTAATGTAGAGAGTAAGACAAAACTAACAAATGCAAAGAAAGAGAAAAAGGAGAATGAAAATAGTTTTGAATAAAAGCCCTAATACCTCTCCCTTGGGTGGGCAGGGAGGACCAAGTGTCTGAAACAAGGAATTTATATTCTTCTCTCAACCTCCTGCATTACAAATAGGCAGATATGTAACTATTCTGTTGATATACAGCATAAGGGATAACACAAAACAGCTTAAAATACACTCTCACAGGTAAGGACAACAACTGACATATGTCAGTCTGCTTATAAATAAATCATTACCTTCTATAAGTAATTTCTCAGACATGAAACAAAGAGATAATGAGATTTTCTCATATATTAGGCTTTTCCATTTTTTGCATGATTATAATTTGCAAGTTATATCTTATAAGAAAAAAAAGACAATTTAAAAATCCAAACTCCACAGTACAAGTACCACTAACAACTTTCAATGTTGAATAAATATTCACCTCAATTAAATTTACACCCATAAGTAAAATTTCCTAGTACTGTGGAAGAATTCTACAGAAAGATATTGCTTTAGGAAAAGATGTAGTATATGTTACCTGCCTATTGGTCTCTTAGTATTCTGATGTGGAGACTTAAAGTAATACCTTGACAATTTTTTTTTTAAATTCAAATATTACTTCTGAAAGATTGTATTGTCTGGCCTAGCTTACTGTTAAATAGGCAACTTCATAAGCTGCAAAGAATTTCTCACTCCATAAGTAATATTCCTTAAGCTCAACTTACTGACTTCAGTTTATAACCAATAAATCATGACCATGCAAAATTTCTCTTGAATTTGCAGGAATATTGATTTTTTCCACATCAATGTCAATACTGCTATCATTACTATCATTACTGAGATCATGCTAACCATAATATCAATAAAATACTAATAACAATAAAAATGGTTAAATAATAAAAATGAATCTTTCCACAAAATGTAGGTAAAAAGTCAACAGGTTAGATAGGCACGACTAATACTTGACTCCTTGCTAACTAAGTGCTTGCTAAGCCACCAGTATGTTAACATAATGGATAAATGACATATAT